AAGCATTTCCTAGAAATTACGCAATTAAAGGAAGTAGATTTACTTTTACTGAGTTATCAAGACAACACATCACGGGAGAACAATTGCTTATTTGGAAAGCCACAATCGACCTTGTTGAACGATATGAAGCCTTTTTGATTGGGGATGTAACAGCAAACAATTCTGATATTTATTATAATTGCACAGATAATTGGTTTGGTAATGTATGTGAATATTCATTTTCTCATAAAAAAAGTGAAATAACATTACGAGAAATTGTTCATAATTCGTTCACATGGAAAAACTTTGCCAGTCCAAAACACGTTCCATGTTATGTACTGTTAAAGGTAAAAACTCAATGTTTAGTCTGAAAATAATAAAAACAAAAGGATTACAGTATATTGCAATGAGTTTAGATTGAGACGATTATACATCAGTTAAACAAAACATTATTTACTAATAAAGCAACTTCCTCGGATGCTTTGTTCGCATGGGCGACATATACTATTCCATGAACTTATAATCGATTCAAAGCCTTCTAGTTGACTTGAAAAAAACTGAACAGTATAAAATAATAAATTTTGTCTCTCTGCAAAATCTCCTAAGACGAAGCATTATACATTGTCGATGACTTGAATAGCATCTAATAAGAAGAATTTGGTGTTTTGTAAAGTTTGATATATCAGAGATATTGATTCTATTGTCCAAATGAATTATCCTCATCTGAAAGAATAGACGATAATGACGAAAGAAAGTCAGAGTTAAATGAATTTGTTTAAAGAGTGATTAGTGCTGCTTTCTAGTGCCAAGATATCCTATAAACAAATATTCTCTGAAACCGTAATCCATAAAAAAAGAGCTGCTTTGAATTAATCCTAAATTAAAACATTTCCAGTCACTGAACGACTTTAAAAGACTAGAAGAGTATAAAATAAGGACCATTCAAATGCAAATATTGAACTGCTGGTGAAGCAAACGATATCCTATCCTTCGTAGTATTTCATCGAGAGAAAGGAAAACATAATCGCACGCGTTGTTCTGGAAAATTGATAAACTTCAGTTAAAGCGTATGATTTTTCTATTTGACTATACGATTCATATAAAATAACTCGCATTCAGATCAAAAGTGAAGGGAGAAACGGTGGACTTCAAGTACTTAAAAGTAGCTCGCAATGGTCTCAAGTAGCCCAAATTAACTTCAAGTACAATTTATACCGTTTCGCCCTTGTAAAATGTATTCACAGTTCAGATCTGTATTATAATATCATCACAGAATTATTCTAGCTTCGCGCACATTTATCACATGTCAAAACGATATATGCAGCAGAATTCATTTAGAAAGTTAAATGAAAAAATTTTCCAGAGAAGAAACATAATTTTGGATGTTTTTTTTTCAAACAGTTTTAACAGATTCTATTCATCGTATCTGCAATCTATACGGCATATTGTTGTAATGATAAATTTGTTAGCAATGATTTTATTCGCGGTTTTTTATTATTATCTCGATTATTTGTTCTAATTGATAAGTTAAAAGCCCATATTATATTTTGTATTTAACTTAATTAAATCTATATCATAGTGTAATCGTGGTCCATCGGTACTTTGTCTTGACTGGCGTGAAATATGCGACGGTAAAATTGATTGTCTTCACAATGAAATAGACGAAGAAAATTGTGGAGAAATTGAAATGTCTAATATGTTGATAAATAATAATGCAAATGAATTTATATGTCATAATGGAATGCAAAGTATTACTGCAACATTTTATCACAATAGCGTCTTTAATCCAGATTGTATGGATCGATCTGATGAACGGTATGATGTGACATATTGGAAGGAATGCTTTCGGGATCCTGCTTTCCGATGCGAAGAACATACATGTCATCCTGGACGTGGTATAGCAAGATTGAACTGTGGAGATGGAGAATGCGTGAATGATTTACGTGAATGTACCAATCAACGTGGATTTTATAATACGGATCAATGGATATTGGTTAATATTTCTAAATTATGCTGGAATTCGATGGTTTGTCTAACACAAATGAGAGACAATATTGATAATCAACATTGTTCTTTCTTTTGTTATTTCGAATGTGCATACAACGTTATCAATCATTGTCCATCGATTTTTCGTTTTCCACCAAATTTTATTGCTTTCAATCATATCTTCTTCCTTTATACGAGCCAAAATGCAGATGTACAGAAAGAAGAAATTCTACCGTCACACATTTGCTATGATTCACAGCAATGCAATATTGCTAATTTTTCAATGAAAATGAGTTTTGTTCAATATGGTAGTTCATGTGTTAATTTTTCTCAATTTGGTTTTCAATTTTCTAATCTCCCCACATTGTCCGAACTTAGTCGTCTGATTGAAAGCTACTTTATTAGTGCATGTTCAAAAAAACCAAGTACCATCCATCATTGTCATGATGAAAATCTTTATCAATGTGCCAATTCATCAAAATGTATTTCGAAACGTCGTCTTATTGATGGAATTCAAGACTGTACTGATAATGATGACGAAAATTTTATTGATTCATGTTCGATTAATGACACATTTCGTGTGAGATGTTCGGAAAAAGAAAACAAATGTATTTCACCTATACTTATCAATGATGGCTATGAAGATTGTAAGTTTCAAGAGGATGAAAGTAAATATGCTTTAAATGATTATCGAAGACAATTGGACATTTCATTTCCAAGTATATGTGATGGTTTTCGAGAATTAATGCCAATTAAAATCGATGGTCATTATGAAACTGATGAGACTGAATGTGAATTTTGGCCATGTAATAATCTTTATACAAGATGTGATCATATATGGAATTGTCCAACAGGTATCGATGAAAGATTTTGTTCGAAAAATATGACTTGTCATTCGATCGATAATTTATGTGTTTCGCAAAATAAATATGTTGATATATGTTTACTTGCTCAGTGTAGTGACATAAAAAATTGCTCTTTACCAGTAAATACATTTCCCGCGACATATTGTATGAATAATTCTATAATCAAAACTCATTTGAGTTGTTGGACTAAAGATGAATATTTGCCCGTGTCATTAGTATGTGGTTTGATGAATGGTTACATTAATGATCATAGTTTATGGCCAATGCATTTAGAGCATCAGCTGTTCTACTGTCATAATAATTTTACAAGAAATAATCGAACACTTTTGTGTACTCTAACTTTTCGTTACAAACCACGATACTACAGTTATTTTTTATTTCACAGAAAACCGAGGACAACTAGCATTAAGACAAATAATCGAATATCATTTACGATTCCGTTTGAATCGATAAGACATAAACGAGAATGGAATCTAGTAGATGAAGAATTATATTTTTGTCATCGAGGTCTATCAATCTTGTTCTACGATGGTCAAGAGAAGCAACGATGTCTTTGTCCGCCAAGTTATTATGGTGATTTATGTCAATTTCAAAATCAACGTGTTAGTCTTACGTTAAAAATTGAAACCGATGCCGATTGGCGAACAGTTTTCAATGCTGTTATTATGTTAATCGATAATCAAGGGGCAATTGAATCATACGATCAAGTATTTTATGTACCAATGCTTGATTGTGATCTAGTGAATTACAATATTTATCTTCTCTATCGTTCACGACCAAAGGATCAAATGAAAAATTATAGTATTCAAATACATGTTTACGATAAACAAACAATGATATATCGTGGTAGTTGGCTGTTTTCTTTAACATATTCATTTCTTCCTGTTCATCGTATGGCAGTGAAAATAACTATTTTACCAACTCGACCAGTACGATGTTCATTGACATGCAATTATAACGGTGAATGTGTTGAATATGTAAATAGAAACTATGGTAATGCAATGTTTTATTGTCGATGTAATCCCGGTTGGTCAGGTACATATTGCACTGTGAAACACGATACATGTCATCTTTGTGCACCCGATTCGTTATGTGTGAATCAGAATATTTGCATGTGCCCTCTAGGCAGAGAAGGTCCTCGATGTTATCTTAAATCAATTGCATGTTCATTATCGTTAAATCGTTGTCAAAATGGTGGTTTATGCATACCATCGGATATGCGTCGAGGACATTATATTAAAGGTTGTTTATGTCCCGAAGGTTTTTCCGGTCAAGTATGCCAAGTTTTGGAGACAGAAATTCTTATTTCCTTTCATTCAAAAATAAAAATCCCGGAATCGATTCTTGTTTATCTGATTTCTAATACGATAATGCACACAAACAAATCTATTTCAATATTCAAACGAATTCCCTTTGATAAAAATTCAGTAATATTATATACTCCTAATCCATTTTTTTTAACATTTGTTGCCCTCTCTATAAACGACTATTATCTGACTTACACAGTCGATGATATTGATTTATCGAGAGAGAAAAATAATCGAACAACGTTTCCAATGATAATTGACCCATCTCGACGCTGTCCACATATTCATGAATTATTTAATAGTACATGGATTTCTCTTCATCTTCTTCGTCGTGTTAAATACTATCAATTGCCATGTCAACAACGACCAAATTTAGCTTGTTTCTATGACGAAGCATATATGTGTTATTGCACAAAGACATATGGCAGTCGCGAAGCTGAATGTTTCGTAGCTAATCACGATGAAACAAACATATGTCAAGGAACGAATAATGGTGGTTGTCTTAATGGTGCTCGATGTTTTCAGGATAGATTAATATGTCCAACAGTGTCAAAATGTATTTGTAAAGAATGTTTTTATGGAAAATATTGTCAGTTTACAACACAAGGTTTCGGCCTATCTCTCGATGCCATTATTGGCTATCAAATTCAATACAATGTTCCATTTTTGAGTCAACCATTAGTTGTTAAAATTAGTGCATCAGTGGTAATGATCATGACAATAATTGGGCTGTCCGGAAACTTTCTCTCAACATTAACATTTCGTTCAAAGACTATATGCGAAATTGGTTGTGGCATGTATTGTTAGCGTCAACAGATGTCACATTATGACGCTAACTTATGTCCAGT